TCGATTATTCGGCCCAGTGAACTGAATGAGGCAGATAGTTTGATTCTCTAATAGCTGCAGCCAATAAATCAGCCGCAGCACCAGAGTCAGAGCCTTCACTCCCACAGCGCTCCACATCTGGACTCAGCCTGTCAAGGAGTGACAACTGAAAGTCTTCACAGGCCCATAAAATCACAAATACCAGGAACTTTACTGACTCCGGCTTTCCTGTGGACCCACAGGCAAACACACACACACACATAGACAGAAGTTATTGGCTTCTGTGCAGGGAGGCAGAGAGCTGCGTTGATCGATATGAGTGCTGATGTCAAAAGATCAGCACAAACCGAGACGTTTAAGCTGGCCACTGTGAGGCGAGCCTGCTGTAAAGGCTGAGGAGTTGACATCATGGATGATGAGTGTGTGTGTGTGTGTGTGTGTGTGTGCGTGTGTGTGTGTGTGTGTGTGTGTGTGTGTGTTTGTGTGTGTGTGTGTGTGTGTGTATGTGTGTGTGTGCACGCGCGTGAGTGCGGTATGCTGGTAATCAGTAAAGGTAAGAAGCAGCGTAGGTTATGTCCACCCATTTAGGATTGTAAAAAGCAATATATACTTTTAGCACTTTACGCCTGTGATTAATTAGTCCATATGTGCAGCAGAGTGAATTTAATTATTTCTGTTTAATACACTTTAAGTGGCTCATTTTACATTGACAAATCAACTATAGTATATTAGTTAACTGGTTATGTCTTTGGAGACCCTGGATGTATGAATATGGAGGAAAATATCATAAATGGGGGAAAATAAAAGACCTATTTCATAAATTCCACTTGCAGCAACAGCAATAAGACTTCAGAATAAGTGCACCATCTCCATACATGGTAATTGAATATAAAACATAAATTTGGCACACGTTTTGCACAAATTATACCCAGATGTTCCTCCTGATGTGGATATCATTTGTTAGAAGCCCTGAAGACCTAACTTCTAAATTCAGCTCTTTATTATGAGCAATGGGATCATACATCAACTCTCATTTTTCTGCTATTTCCCATAGGACATTTCTGCATTTGTATTTCTGTCTAACCTCTCTTTCACTATGCTGGAAAAAGGTGATGTTGCATTTTTTGCACCAATCAGAATTTAGCGATACTTGAATCAAAATACATATGATGGCAGCTGTGGGATCTAATGTAATAAACCCATGCCCACACAATCCAGTCTGATTAAGCAGAAGAGTATCAAACTCTTAACAATGCTGTTTTATGAACTTTGATTGATTGATTGTCAATATTTAATGTTAAAGAGAAATACTACTACTATATAAAACCACTTTGTAAGGAGCTTAAAAATAACATGTTTCCATTTTCCTGACAAGGGACCTCTTGTGACAGTTGTCATGGAAGTAGTGTTATGTAGTATTATATCACTTTGACAAAGTTTGCATCTTGTCTCCATCTTGTAACCATGACGACCACTGTCCCCAATCTCAGCAAAGTAATTTTAGTTGCCTAAACTTAAAGGTCACATATTTTACACTTTTACAGTGTTTTATTTGAGGTGTTGGTCCATAAGAACCAAACCAAAAACCATTTCAGTGTAGTTTTACATCTCCTCTCTCAGACATCGCTCTGGAGCTCTAGCAACAACAGGCCGGCAAGCCAATCAGAAGAAAGGAGGCTCTGAACCTTTTTTTCTGATTGGCTGACTGTTTTTGATAGAATGTGATAGAATAAATAGAATAAAAATATACCAGATTTCAGGTAAACACTCAGAGAAACCAAATCCTGCAAGGCTGGATGGTTGGTCCAGGTGGGCGGGGCTTGGGGCGTAGCTGAGAGCGGTGACTGCTTTGTTGTAACATCACAAAGTCACAGAGGTCCTGATGGCTCATTTTAAGGTTCTGTTTCTGAATACAGGCTGTGTACATGTCTCTGTTGATTATAAAGCAGGTCAAGGTTCTGTATTAATACTGTTAAAGTATCAAAGCATTCAGTTCACGAAAACATGGAAATCTCACTGTATACAATATGGGACCTTTAACAATGCAGGTGGCAGATATATATGAAAGATCAGTAAAGGTTGCTTTTGAAGGCACTGACAAAGGATCATATTTGTCATTTAGGCAGCAAGACTGGTATGCAAATAAAGCTAAAGTCATAAGAAAGCCAACATAATTCAAATGTATAAAACCATGACAACCAGATGCCCAGTGACATACCAAATACAAGACACATTATCATGTGCCACTTGGTTGACGGTCTTTTTTTTTTGTGCATGTGTGTAAGCTCAGCTCCCAGTGCTTACTGCCAGACTACTGTTCTCACTTTTGTATCGCTGCCCATATTTCACTGCATGAGTTGAATGTGCAGGACACATTGTTTGGGGAGGTCTTTCACAGTAATTTCAGAATTTCAAGGAAAACACTAAACGGAAAGAGAACAGAATTACAAACTTGGAAGAAGCGTCATTCACGATGGTCCAACACAACAGGCTCAAAATGAATGACTACGCAGAGGTACGTTGAAAGAGTTCAGTGCATTATGTTGTGTCTTATGACTGCTCGATTTGACGCGTGTATGTATTGGTGAAGTGAATATTACTAAACTGCCACAAAAAAGTGCCTGATGGGGACTTTCAGTCAGACTCAGGATGTGGAAACATGTTTCACACTGACAGAATAATCCTTGGTGATGGCTTCAGCTATTTTAAAGTCAGCTACAGCTGCAGCACTAATGTTCAAGGTTTCGTACTGTTTCTTTTTCACAGGCTCATGGCTTTAGAAGCATGAATATACATTTCACAGGTCAGGCCACAAATAGGTGATTAAAATTCAGCAGTCGGGCTTGTAAGTCAAAAGTGTGTCCCTCCTTTTCCTGTTCTATTCATTTTTTTGTAATGTTGGCAACACTTTTGTTAATCATTTAAATGCCAAACATTCCTCTGCTGTGTGATTCTGAAACGTGAGGATTTGCTGCTTTTCTCTGTTTTATGGCATAGTGAATGGAAAACTCTGGTGTTGTGAAGGAATCTGAAGGAATTTGTGATGGGAATTTTCCAACCTTAGACTGAGTTACTAATGGATTTGTCAAAAATAATTTATCAGTACTGAAAAATGATTGTTAGTTGCAACTAGAGATGCTACTCTCAACATTACTCAATGTAGTTGTTACTCTCAGACGCTGCCAACACTGACCATGCCCATCTGTGTGAGTGACTAGTTAAATCAAATCATTCAGGGAGAAAAACTAACAAACTTTTTCTTTCCCGTTCAATATGCCCACACATGAGGAACAGGAGGCGATGGATGGGGTGGATCCAGTGAGAGAGCTTCACTCAGAAGTGTTGATATTCTAACAAATGCAAACACTTAGTTTGGCTTATAGTAATTGTGGTGACATAATTAAAACTGTAATAGTATGTGCTCATTAGCAGCACTAAGCTCCTCATTAGAGAAAATGCCACAATTCTGAACAGATGTGTGGGCAGCATGCATCCCTCCAGCCTGTGTCAGCCTTTCACTACGTTTGGGAATAAAGGAAAAAAAAAAAAAGTAAAAATAAAACAAAACGGCAGCACAGATTCAACAAGTGAGAGGTCAAGACAAACAAACTGAATCACAAGGGCACAGTTTGCAGAGTAACTAAATGTCTCTCTCTCTCTCTCTCTCTCTCTCTCTCTCCCTCTCTCTCTCTCGCTTTCTCTCTCTCTCTCTTTCTCTGTGTGCAACCTAGTCTCCTGTCAAACATACCCTGTGTTTTGTGCGTGTGTGTGCGCGCGTGCATGGGTGGTGCAAGTGCCCGCGCGTGAATAATAGCCCTCCACTGCGATTTTCAGCAACAGAAGTTGCACTGAAAGAAATTGCATGAAACATCGTGAGACCGCTTCAGAGTGACAGCATCATTTCAGCGCGCAGGCTGTTCAGTAACAATTCTGAACACCCAAAAAAAAAAAAAAAAAAAGAAGAAAAGAAGAGAAGTGTGGGTTTGTGAGGCTGATCGGTGAATTTAGCTTTGGAGCACTCTCAGTCAGTAAAATGGAGGAGGTGATAGGCAGTGTGGGATGAGATTGTAGGTGCCCAAAGCTGTCAGGGAGAAGCGGGGAGGTAGAAGAAATTGGACGGAGTCAAAACATGTCAGAGGTTTGAAGGGAAAGAAGACAGGAGGAAGCTGGGGAGGAGGAGGAGGAGGAGGAGGAGGAGGAGNTCGAAGCGTTTGTAGGTGTAGTTGATGAAGACCCAGTCCTTGTTCTTCAGGTCGGCCTCGGTGTGGTTGGACACCTGGGTGGCTGGAGGAGGAGGCGGAGGAGGAGGAGGAGGAGGAGGCCGAAGGAGGAGGGGGTGGGGTAGGGGGGGGGTGGAGGCCACAGAAAACAGACACATCTCATCACCAGGATTCGGACATTTAAGGTCAGGGTGGGATTGTGTGAATGAACTTGTCACTGCAGCTCCAACAGCAAAGACGTTATCTGACACATTATGCATTATTTAGCCTCTGCTCATTGTGCACCAGCAGACACACAAACACACACACACACACACACACACACACACACAAACACACGCATCCACGTCGGTCGACATCACTTACACATTGTAAAGGTGAGGACATTAATGTCTCTCTCCTCCCTTCTTGATGTCCAGGGGCATGAACACTCCCGCCTGCAGTATTTGTTATTCAAATTCATGAACAGAGAGGGGACACCTCTCAGTGCTGATGATGCTTTAAACTACAAATAATACAGAGTCTGTCTGAGGAAAATCTTAGCAGAGAAAAAAAGGGGGGAAAAGAAAACAGCCTACTGCAGATGTCAGCTTGCTGCGCAGGAATAAGCCGCGAAAATATTTGGAGGAAATTTACTAAACATCCACACAGTCACAGATGCGCCAGAGGAGAGAAAAAAAAACAAGCCTTTCTGTTACTGTACACACCACAAGTGCTCGCAACTACTAACAGTGATTATTCGCAGACTCCCGGAGCCTCCATCCAATCGATTCTAAATGAGACAGTCCTCCACTTACTTACCCATGTTGTCTCATCGGTCCGTTCCCTCCGTCCTCCGTAGCGCAATCCGCCGCACAGATCACGACTTCCTCCGTGTAGCCTTTTCCTTCCCCGCACCTGGAGAGCCGTGGAGCTATGCGCGCCTCTCACGCGACGGGTGACTCACCTGCCTTCATTCTAAAAAAAAAAATTAAAAATAAAATAAAATAAAAAACTGTCGCTCGATTATAAAAAGCTTTTAAAGTTTGCGCCCATGCTTCCTCGACGCAGCTCAACTTTCCAAACCTGTCTCAGAGAACTGTGCCATCAAGCCCGCAAGTTGGAAGTCAAATAACGCCTGGCTCTACAGGGTTTTCTCACCCGAGAGGAACATAGTCAGTGTCGGAAAGGGTTGACCGCGACTAAACAGTCACGCGTTGGAAAAAGTTAAAGGTGTGGGAACGAGCTGGATTGAGCCGCGGGGATCGGTGCTGTCGCCGGCGGAGGCGAATGTCCTCTGCGCAAACATCCAGTGGAGCAGCGGAGACGCCAGGCAGCGATCACAGCCAAGCACGGGCACTGTCAGGGACCCCTGTGCAGTGCACTGGCGAGCAGGTTTCCCGTGTGCGCGCCCGGCTGCGTGGAGGAGCGTGTGCAGGCGCGCGCATGTGGGAGAAAGAAAAGGAGAGAGAGAGAGACTTTGTGTGTGTGTGTGTGTGTGAGAGAGAGAGAGAGAGAGCGAGAGAGAGAGAGCATTCAATGCAGTGTTTAGCAGCTGCAAGCAGATTTGGTCAAATCAGAGATTTGCTTTTGTTTTCTCGTTGATCTGCTTCATCCATCTTCATCACCACCAACACAAACACAGCAGTGTTGGAGCCGTCTCCCCCTTTACCATGCTTTTCTTCCATAAGTCCATTATGCAGGTGTGGTGGAGGATATGCTGAGGGCTATATGTGGTGATCATTATAGCATGAGTGGGAAGCCTGCCTGATCCCACCTCATGTTGCATAATTATTGCAGATAGGAAGGCTAAATGCAAGGTTTCTATTGGAGCGGGGAGGCTGTTGGACAGGTTTCACCTCATTTTTGAAAAGCATTATATAGTAGTGAAACATTTCAAACTCTCTAATTACGGAGCACGTCACTGTCCAAACAAGAAATTTGCAATATATTTTTGATTTTATGTGATCATAAATAGCTGTGATTACGCCTTTTTGGCAATAACTAAAGTCCCACTGCAATAACATCTGTCTCTAATTTGAAACACTCAGTTGAAGTTATATCCTCAGTCCATAACACTTTCAAATGTTTGATTTAGTCCCACCTTCTCTAATCATTTCAGATTGTGATTAATTCCTGGAGTGGTGTTAGTCATCCAGTTGGTACTTATCTCAGATGATTCAGACACAAGAGATGAAGAACGATGATAAATTTAAAAAATGTTCCCATTTTAAGAAACAGCTCCGGCTTGACTTGACTTTCGATTTAGCCTTGTCACACTATGTAGTCACTTATTGAAAGTTTTATGGCAGCACGACGTTGGAAGTATGAGCTTCAAAGTGATGATAAATGCAGTCTTCAGTCCTGCTCTTGTGTTTTTTTTTTTTTTTATTAATGCCCATAGTTTGGAAGTGAGAAGTTTAACAAGCACATGTATGGTTATTAGGTTTGGGTGTCCACTTACTTTTGGCCATATAGTATATTGCTTGTTATCGCTGCTTTCATTGAATTCTTTATGACAAGCCAGACAGCTTAGGCTACTTACCAGAGGGCAGATTGTTTAAAATGCAAACCATCTCTTAAAGAGCTTCATACTCTTGAAAGAAAACTCTCTCTCAAGGAGAGACTTCTCTTTAATATTGTAATTATCTGACTTTAATCTCTTTAGCCACTTTTCAAAAGCAGTATCCACGTTTAACAGAAAGCCACATAAGAAGGAGAAAGAACTGGAATCAGCTCTATACAATCTGAGCAGCAGATATATTCTGACCTAACTAGTTGTTTGTTCCTGCTGTGGGCGAAACAGCTGCGGTATCAGGGATTGAGTGGTCAAACTGATAGTATCACAATAATCTCTTATGGGTCAGCGCTCCTTGGAATGTCAGACCTATTCTGTTCTTTTTGGATTTCACCTTACAAACCGACCATGTCTCCTAGAATCTCCTCCAGGTCCGACCTTTCCCATCTTTATATGTCATAAAAGTGCGATTAGAGAGCATTAAAGCCTCTGCTGCATTGCCTAGAATTTTTCACATTTCTTTAAAAAAAATGCATCTGGTTATAACATTTTGTGAAGTGAAGCTCAGACAAGCAAGACACTTGAGAGCGGGATTGACAAGAGCCATGAAATTCATTTAACAAGCACAGGGAGCAGTCTGATTGGAGGTGTGACGGTGGCCCGGTCGCCTGGAGCCACAGTCACAAGAAGGCGGAGCTGTAATTCAGCAAAGCTATGGAGACACCCCCCCCCCCTCCCCCCCTCCCCTCTCACTCCCCTTCTTCCCCCTCCTCCTCCTCCTCCTCCTTGACCACAGACAGAGCCTTGATGCCAGCGGTGAGAAGGAGGAGGGTCGAACGGCAACCAAGTGCAGTGAAGAGATGTCAGGTAAGGACAAGAGGGAGGATGCAGTGATAACACGGGGGGGAAAGGACAGGTGAGCAAGCGGAGGAAGATCAGGCTGGAGACTTTATCGTTTGAAATTCAGCTTCATCGGTTAATGCTAGAAAACGAATCATATCAGATTTTTCTCATTTATCTTTGTGATATGTAGTCATGCAAAACATCACATCATCAGTCATTGATGCATTTTCATAGTGTAAATGGCATGTTTTTGTTCAAGTGACAAAGCCCTCTAGTGGCCATATAGTGTGAATTATGACTCTTGTCTAATGGGAGCAAAGGAGGAAAAGACAACTACTGCAACAGGAAATGTAATCATGTTCAGAAGCAATTTTTTGTTTTAAACAAATGAAGCGTGGCATTTATTAATGGCGGCAGACACGCCAGAGATCAGGGTTCGCATCCATGGTCCTGCACTTCTGCTGAGGTTAGGGAAAGATTGCGGTTCTGGTTGCATGTTAATAAACACATTGTGTCTGAAGTCACTGTGATCTTTTTTTCTGATTTAAACCAGACCAGGAACATTCCCTCACTTTACCCAAGTGCTGGGACACGTTTATTTATACTTGAAAAGATTAACATTAACATTGTGTTACATTTAAACTGGCCTGACTCAGTTGAAACTGGTTTTCAGCAGGCTCCTGTTCTGCAGCACAGAAAAAAAGAATGATGTCACAGTTAAAACAGAAGCAACACACCAATGCAACTGCATGTGTGTCCTTCCCAGGTAAATTATTTGTGTAGTTCTGAGAAGTCAAGGTGTTAGAATGTGAAACTGCAGTATAGCGGTGAGTCCAAAGGGGATGGTTACCATGGATCTTATAGGCTCTGTTGTGCTGTCTTGCAAAAGGTTCGATAGTTTTCTCTGTGGTGAGGGACCAGACAATAGAATATTGTCGAAAAATAATTACATGAAGGTCTGAGATGGTAGGAGTGAGATGTGGGCTTGATCCTATGAAAACATACAATTTCTGGTGGAGCTTCTTCGTTAGATTATGAATGCAGCTTTGATAAATAAGATGTGAATCCAGGAATACCCCAAAGATATAGATGCGAAGGTTAGTGCTTCATTTGTAAAATGAGTAGGTCAGACATGGATACAGGTTTCTTAGGGGAATGGAAATACTTTCTTCCTTCTTGAGATTGATGCTTGATTGATTTTTATACTGAAGCTCAGAGGAGAGTTTTGACTTTATGACATTTATATTCACATTTACTCATTTGGAAGATGCTTTTATCCAAAGCAACTGACAAGTGATGGGCAACACTAAAGCCTCAGTGCAGTAGGAAACCTTGGTACAAGTACTAACTACTACATCAATTCCATAAGTGCAAGTGAGAGTGCTAATTAGTAATGTTAGGATTTAGAGGTGTCAGGAGAGGACGTGCTCTCGGAAGAGATGAGTCTTCAAGAGATTTGTGAAGATAGAGAGGGACGGCCCTGCACTGATAGCATTTGGTAGCTGGTTCCACCATCTGGGAATCACAGACAAGAACAGTCTGGACTATCATTGCCTTGTGTGCAGGGATTGAAGTAGTGGCAGAGAAGGAGCATAAACCTGTATGATTGAGTTCAAGTAGATGGGTGCAAACCCAGAAGTCTCTGAAGCTAAGCATTAGTGACTTGAATTTGATATGGGCGGCCATGGATAACCAGTGTAGGTCGATGAGTAGCGGACTGACATCTGGACCATCTGTAACGGTTTCACTGTGCACGAAGGGAGGCCCACCAGATGGGCATTGCAGTAGTCGAGGCACATCACATCAGGGTTTGAGTCATAAAGAGAAATTACAGTGTCATTAGCATATAATAGACTTCCAGAGTATTTCCACACATTGGGAATGTCATTGACGAAAGAGTAAACCATTTGGAACTTAGCCTCTTGTAGTATCTTAGCATCTGCAGACATGATTGATCGGGTAGAGCAGAAGCCATATTAGAAGTCAGAGGTTATTGCTTTCAAGATAATTGTTTAATTGGTTAGAGAGATTTTTTTCAAATGATTTTGATATGACTAGGAGAATGGATATTGGCCTGTATTTCAGAACATAAATTCAATCCTTAGATTTAAAAACAGGGATAATTTGAGCAGTTTTCCAGATGGAGGGAAATACATGAATCCTGATACTTGGATAACAGATGGTGGGGAGGAGGCATAAAACTCTCAGCACGAGTCTTAAAGAAATGCACATTTAAACTATAAATGTCACAAGCACAAAGAGGTCGAGGGATCAGAAAACTCATTCTGTGTTGTCTCAGAGGAAGAGAACTGGAGGTAAGTGGGAGAAGATGTCACTTCAGGTGAAAGGGTAAAAGGGAGTATCACTTGCACTAGTCCTTGCAATATTTTTCAGCTTCTGTGATAAGAGTACCTTGTAGAAAAATTTGAATATTGTTGTTCCTTTCCCTCTCATTTTCACCATTT